AAGTGGGAGAACTTGCACAATTGGTGGCTGACTAAATACTTTTTTGCCCCACTGTATCTTTATATTCACATTTTAATGCGCTTTTACAGTTAATACAAGTCTCTAGAATACATCTGCCTCTTAAGTCATCAGAAAAAGTGACTTTCGCAATTCAAGTTCGAAGAGATGCAGCATTCTTTTCAAGAAAGTTATACTATTCATCCTTAGCCTATTCTCTATATCTTACCTCAGCTTTCAACATCTTCATAAAGTTGTAACCTGAGCACTGCAATATATCTTGAATATAAATTGTAGGACTTATCCAACAAACAGGATCCGAAACTACTTGCAAATGTATTTAAACCATAATTTGGTATATTTGCATGACATTTTTCTAGACGATTTTTCAAGCAATTCATCTATAAAGTTGTTTTTTGAAAAATCTGAAAATTATGCTCTTCCAAAACAGATCACTATGCTTTACCTATTGTAATGCTTTTATAGAGGGGGAGGGCTATCTATTTGTCCCTCTCATCTCCAGTAAGCAGAAGAAGAAGATGAAGAGTATAGTACAGCCAGTGCCAAAGAAGGGCAGAGCTGCTGAGGAAGGGTTACAAGACTTCAGCAGTTTATAGCCCCCTCAGATGATTCTCCACTCAGCAACCTGTACCCTTACACCTCCAATCAAATGGTTCAAATTTATCTTCTCTCTACTGAATAATTTGACACAGGCAGTTTTGTCTAGCAAAGTATCTCACCAGCCAATCATGCTCAATATTACCTGGGAGATAGGGAAACAGGTACTCCTAAAAATATCTCTGCGATGTTTAAAAAAATTGCTTGGCTATTAAACCCTGGTAAACAAATGTAATATCTACATGATACAATGCTTGTAACAATGCTGCTTGTGTCCAAGACATCATGAAAAAGTAATTAATATCTGACTTAACACAGGGTCAAACACAAAGGTCATTCCTAACTATGCTGACACAACATTACAAAATATGTGTTTGGTACAAAATCCTTTTTTTTCCCCTTAAAACTGCAACATCACATGCAAGTATGTAAAGGCCAAAATTTGTGTCGCAACTTCATGATACATATTTTGTCATTCCCCATCCCTCCACTCATCCCACCTGCAGACAGTTATGGCCAAATCTTGTCCTATGGTATAATGAGTACCTATAATTGTGTACATATTTGTAGTTTTGAACAAAGAAGGATTGTATATAACTGAAGACTGGATTTTCTTTTCTTTTTAAGTGGGGAATGTATACAATTCTAGTCATGGAAAGAGAGAGATACCATTGGGGCTCAGTTGGGCTCTTAGTTCACTCAAAGGTCATGCAGAAAATTTTGTTATTTCAGCATTGCTTTTTCAACAGTTTTATTGCCTTTAGCATCTTTTTTTGTAAAATATAAATACAAAGGCAGAAGAATTTACTTACAAAGTTAAAACACAAATCTCAAACATAAACACACAATTCAGAAAAAAGATTTAGCTTCTGTACAGTTTTAAGCAACTTCAACATAGGTTAGTTTTCAGTATTTTACAGAAAAATAGTTCAAAGTTTTCTTTAAATAAAGAGCATCAAATGTTTAAACATATTTGTGTGTGTGTTTGTGTGTATATATACATATATATAAACAATCCAGTTTGCCATGTGAAAACTAAATTTCACATCTTTAAATTAAGATACAAAAGTTCACACAATTAGTAGATGTGCATGGGTATGGTTTTAATTTATATTACAGTCTACTGAATTATATTCAATAGTGTGTACCTGGCCAAAGCAGGAATTTTTGTAAACAAAAACAAAAATATAATGAAGTGCCTTCCCCAATAAAGTTTCCCAAGCCAACAATATGACTTTGATCACATCACCTATAATAGGTATCTCCTATGTAATCAGTGCTTTGTATGAAGCAAAGCCATTTTCTCTATTTTTAAAAAAAGTTCCATGTAAAAACAAATCTATATCAAAGTTTGTGTGCACTTAAAGGAACGTGCACACAGCCTTTTACAAATTTTACAATTTGTAAAAACAGAGTGAAGTCTCTTTAAAAAAAATCTTCCAAAAGTCCACCCATCTGAGATGTGTGTGTGTGTGTGTGTGTGTGTGTGTGTGTGTGTGTTAGAGGAAAGCTATCTTTTTAACAGTATCCTTTTCTTTACAGAAACAACTGCAGTAACACATATACATAAAGAAATATCTTTACACAGAACTATACATTAAGTAGCTGGGAGATTCACCAATGAATATCAATTTTTTCATCCGGATGCAACCACTCAAGTGAGGCTCCAAGCAAAGATTGTAACTCATTAGTAAATTCTACCAAGTCCAACAGTTCCTTGCCTTCTGGGTTGAAAGCTTCGAGATCCTTTTGGCAAGCAAACAGCTGACTCAAAGATACCTGTTTGAAAAATTCTGCTTCTGTAACACTGACAACTTCCAAACTTGGGAAACTGCAGCGAAATATCCTGGGTGACATTTTCAGCCTCTTTGCTACATCAGAAAGCAAAAACCAGTTCCGTGGTCTACAAAGGCAATAAAGATGTTCAAAGTATTGACAAGATGCTGCAGAAGTTTCAATCAACATGATTCTGCTAGTAATAATTTTGTGTACATTTCTATTTAAGGCAAAGAAATTAAAAATAGCTTAGACTCTGTACTCTTCCTCCCTCTTCCTACTCCCCCTTCCAGTAAACTCATGGGTGAAATCCAACTTTGAACAAGCAAACATCTGTTCACACAATGGGACACAATTTCTTCCCATTTTTCCCCCCTATCCTCCCTCATGTCCTGCTCTCACACCGTCCTTGGTCTGTTTTCATAAGCTGCACCAGGCCAGTAGATTTTTCTTTGTGAATATGCTGCAATATCAGCATATATTCACACACATAGAAATAGATTTGCATTGAGTATGAACAATTTCTGTTTTAAAGAAGCCAATCTATGGGGAGTTTTTATGTTCAAAATAAATAAAACTTAGGATATGAAACCCAATTCTAGCAAAATGAATAACAAAAGGATCAGTGCATTTAATGAGACAAAAAGATGACCTTGAATATGTCAATAACAACTCAAATATTTGTTCATTAACATAAGCTGGGGAAACAACTTTATCTATCTTCCTCTCCAGTATAAATAATAATAATGCTTACCCCTGAGAAAGAGACACTTGGATGTTATAACATGGCAAGAGAGGCACATCTGAGAATTCAAACTCCAAGATATCACTAAAGCCATCTTCATCCTCATCACTTGGACCAGGTGGATTAGACAGGATGTCAAATCCTGATTCGCCTTTTGGCTCTATTTAAATAAACAGAAAAATAAATGACCTTTTGTCAAATATACAGTGGCTTTTCCTCCCTTCTCTTTCTTGTATTTGACTTGCTCTCTCTTCCATGAATTCTGCCTCCCCCACCCATACATACACACACACACATTTGGAAATGTCCCACAAAGAAAAAAAAAGCCATGTCTTCTTACCACACACAGAGCTGCCATAGAAGTCCCAGGACAAGCCAGGGTCATCAACATCACGACCTTGGAGATCAGTTAAATACTCTAGAGAGATACAACAAATATTGAGATAAAGCAAAAAGTTCAGAAGTTTTGCAAACTATCATAGCATGTCAAAAATATATTCCAGAAAGTTTTTATGTTTATCTAAAAGCACAGAGTATCAACATTATAAATCAGAATACCACAGAACTCTAAGTGAGGTGATATCAGAGATCTTATTTCTTCTCAAATATAATTATTCTACCTCCATTTACTTGTCTTTTTAGCCGCTTCCCATTCCTACTTTCTCATTTTGCACACTTCAAAAACTGATTCTGAAGAAATAGTCTATAAACATTAGGCTATACTTGCTACAGATACATTTGTCTCACATGATCAGGCCAAGATCTTCACATCTTCATCAGAACACCTTTCTTTGATGCCCCGAGCTTTGAAAGCACAACAGGTGGCAACACAAACCTGAACTTGGCTAATTCCCCCCAAAAGCTAAGCAGGGTTGGATTTGGTTAGTACTTGGATGGATGAGAATCTACCAGGATATACAAGTGCTGTAGGCTAAAAGAAAGTAATGTCAAACCCCTCACCAGGAGCTGAGGTTTTTTATCCATATTAGAGATAAAGCCTTCTAGTGATGGCAGCAAACTATGGGAACTCCCCTAGCCCAATTATGTATACCCTTAAGGCTACCTTTTAGGTACCATTGGCACCTAACCAATGGGCACTTTATAGCACTTTTGTTCTTAGATCATTCTTAAGTGATTTTACATTGCTCATTGCTGTTTTTAGTATTTGTTGCTTTATTGTTTCATTTTAATTGTTAATTGCATTAATATTCAAATAAGGCTGTTCTGTTCTGGACAAAATAGCTTTAGTATTTCCAATTGCAACAGAGCCAAAGGGGAATGTATAAAAAAGAAGACAGCAATATACTGATTGCAGAAATGTCCCTGACTGTACATTTCATACTGATTATTCATACCTCCCTCCCCACATCCCAAAATCTGGATGGTATCATAATTTTGGCCACTGTTGATACCAGACAGATGAAGACATCTATGAGCTGGAAGATACTAACACTATAACTCATAATACTAATATTGTGAAAAAAGCCCGTATTTCTGTTATTAGTTAGGCAAGAAAATATCTGAATACCACAACCCTGATTTTTATTGTTACCTGAAGTGTAATTTAAGTTTTGTAGAAAATGAAATTGCAAATGAATAAGCATTGTTATAAGCAAAGAAAAAAATTATATATACCTGTTAGAAAAGTCTCCATTAGTTCACTGTGTGTCATTTTCACAATTGTTCTACCTGAGTATGTAGCAAGCGTTGGGTCAGCGCCATAAGAAAGGAGCAATCGGACAATTTCTAGATGATCATTTTCCACTGCATCATGGATAGGCCTTGGGAAGGGAAGAGAGAAACTTATTTGTTTCAAATTCAAACAATATAGTAAGCTGTGTTCTGCCTCCATTTAAAACAAGAAGTATGAGCACTATTTGTAAGTCATGAAGAAGACTATTGCACAAAGTGCTTTTCTCAAATTTTAAAATACATTGTTAACTTCAGGAACTGAAACTTATATAATATACATATACTCTATTAAACAGCATGCCTCTTGGAGAAAGTTATTCACAATTAATTGCCCCTGTTACCACTTTACTCAAGTTTCCTCCTTTCTTCTGCCTCCCATCCGTTTAAACGAACATCACTTTGAACAACAATCAAATCCCATAGTATTGGCATATTTGGTATCAAAAGGTATATGTATGTGTAAACAATACTCTGAGCATTCACATCATTGTTCTGCTCTGCAAAATGTAACTCCTCAAAAACCCAAACAAATAGCTGCCTTAATGTTTTCCAATTTTATATAAATTTAGTTTTCACTACAGCAATCATTCAAAATGTACAATAATTATTATCAACCTCTGCTTTGTGATTCAAGGGAGAGCAAGAGCTTTACAGGTATACATAACAATTATTAGCTGAAACCCTTAGAAGTATTTTCTAACAACTATAAATGTAAATTATGCTATCAAAAGCTATATTGAGTGATTTCTTAAAATATGACTGCATGAATATAGATAACACACATGCAAGTATGTTTAAGACTATGGACAAAAACCAGATCTTCAATCACTGGAATTATAGAGGACAACGAAGCTAGAGGCAAATTTGCTTTTGTTAGAATTATTTTGATTTGCTTTATCTTAATCAAAATCCTGACATTAAAGTCAAAAGACATGATGATTTCAAACTCTGATACTGTTAGGAAACTCAACAAAATGGAAATATACACACAGGGCTTACCCACATTATATTAACTGAAGCCAAAAACAAGATGGCATCTGTTTCCATTCTATGTATAAAATCCACCTGGGCTAGCAGTTAAATCTTTCTTTGGCACTAATTCAACACCTACAGGTAGTCCTTACTTAACGATAGTAATTGGGACTGGAATTTCCAATGCTAAGTGATGCGGTTGTAAAGCGTGACATCGCACGACTACATTGCTTAATGACAGCAATCCTGAGAGTCGGCTTCCCACAGGCAAAGTCAATGGGGAAGCCATCTGGAAGTTGCAAGTCCCAGGCAGCTTGCAAGCAGGCCAGAGGGTGGGTGAGTACTACAGAGTGAGGTAGGGGGATGCTGCAATGAGTGCATGCAGGCTGGGGAGGGGTTGCTGTGGGCTGGGGAAGGGGTGCTGCAGTGTGCGCACTATGAAGTATAAGATTCCTGGGATCTCGGAGTTGTACCTTCTCAGGAGAAAAAGCGGTGGGAGCAACTTGCAACCTTCACTGCCAGATTCCCCACTGACTTTGCTTGCGGGAAGCCGGTAGGAATGTTGCAAATGGTGATCACATGACCATTGGATGCTGCAACCATCAAAAGTGTTAGCTGGTTGCCAAGCCCTCAGACTGCAATCACGTGATGGTCTGAACTTCGAGGACCAGTCATAAGTACCACTTGTTCAGTGCCATCCCAATTTTGAATGATCACACTGACCGAGTGGTCATTAAACAGGACTACCTGTATTGCTTTTGAAAACAGCAGCTAGCTTTATAGGACCTGCTATGTGAGACACATCTTTCCTCTCTTTCTCCTCTAATACCTTTTTGCTACTTCCTGACTATCTAATGATAGAACTGATCCTACACATATACATATTGGGGCCGGTCTGCCCACTGGGCAAATGGAACACTTGCTCTAGAGGGACCAATTCAATCCATCCACTGACTAACTGACCCACTGACTGAGGAAGCTTGAGGTAGTTCCTGAAGTTTTGGTGCATTGTTCAGCTAAGGCCGCAGTCACTGCTTGGAATGAGCAAGTGTTGGCAGCCTTGGATTGGATTTTGCCTATGCAGATCCCAGAGAGCCCCCTGATTTTCAGAGACACTGCAGAAAAAGAAGCAAGATGACTGGGGCATAGTCTTGTCCAATTATCTGGGCTGAGTTCTAACTGGTTACTCCCAAAGAAGTGGACAAGGTCCTTTGGATGTTTTTTTTTTTTTAGAATGAGAATTTTTTTTATATAAATAACTCAAGGCGGCAAACATATATAACTGCCCAGAGATGCTCTGCAGTGAGATGGATGGTGACAAATTTGAAATCAATCAATCAATCAATCAATCAATCAATCAATCTCCCTCCTCCTCCTATTTTCCCCACAACAACCACCCTGTGAGGTGGGTTGGGCTGAGAGAGAATGTCTGCCCAAAGTCTCCCAGCTGGCTTTCATGCCTAATGCAGGACTAGAACTCATCATCTCCTGGTTTCTAGGCCAGCACCTTAACCACTGCACCAAACTGGCTCTCCTGCCACCTGTGTGTTAAATTCATACTCCTCCTGGCTGGTTAATGCCTCCAAGGAAGTGACATGTGGCTGGGTTCAAGTAGTGATAAGTGCCTCTCTACAAAAGGGGGTAGTTCCACCTGCTTTGAAGGAGCCAGTGGCCACTCCCTCCTCAAGGGGCCATCACTGGACACAGCTGTACTAGACAATTTTCATCCAGTCCCCAACTTTCCCTTTTTAGGGACGGTTGTTGAGAAGATGGTAGGCCTGCAGCTTCAAAGGGCCCTGGAGGAAGCAGATTATCAGGACCCACTGCAGTCTGGGTTCAGGCCAATACAGTATATAGTGTCAAGACGGCATTGATCACGCTTGTGGATGACCTCTGGCAGACTCAGGATGGAGGTAGTGTATCCATCCTGGCCCTTCTTGAGCTCTTAGCAGCTTTCAATGCCATCAATTACTGTCTCCTTCTGGGCCTGCTGAGGGGGCTGGGAGTAGGAGGCACTGTCCTTCAGTGGTTACAATTATATTGTAATTGTTTATGTTTATCCATTTACAAAATGCAAAGTGAGTGAACAGAAGAGAAATCTAAATCAAATCAATATTTGGTGTAA